CTCACCACTACATGCCACTAAATCTTACACACTGCACCTTTAAGATGAAAACTCTTCTCTATCACAATATTAAGAGACCATATAGCAAATTTTTCTAGTATTGTGTATATTTCTCCCTGAGGCCCACTTATAATATATGTGTGCTTTTAGAAACCAAAAACTGTCACAATTAATTTTTATATGACCGTTTTCCAACCACTCTGTATCTTTTAGAGCAGGGGTTCTTAACCATTTTCACTGTGCAAACTAGGTTTTCAAACTTCAACAGTGTTTACATACTTTATTTCAAAAATTGGAAAAATAATCTGTTTTACATGACATGGACACTTTAAAAGGATTGTATTTTCAATTTTCGTTTTTTAAGCAGCTAGCTTATCTAGCTAGGTTTCTACGTTCATGTGGTTAGCTAATGTTAGTGGCCTGCACTGGAGATTGAAATTTATATTAGACAATCGAACATTTATAATTTTTGGGTTAAGACTGTTTGTTCAATAAATTTACAAATGTGCACAGTTTCATCTACTAAAATGGTATTACTTTGGCCGACTAAAACCAATTGCCATTTGAGTAAGATATGCTAACTAAGTCAACACATTCATTCATCTTCTAAGCTGCTGAAGCCCAGCATTTATTGGGCAGAAGGCAGGAAACATCCTGGACAGGTAAGTCCATTGCAGGGAAGACACACAAACATACACTCACATGTAGGGGCAGTTTAGTGTCTCTAATTGGGCTAGCAGCATGTTTTTGAACCATGGGAAAAAACCCACGCAGATGCTGGTCGCCTGGCCAGGGAATCAAACCCAAGCCCTTCTTGCTGTAATGCAAAAGTGCTAGCCTCTGTGCCACCTTAAGTCAAAGTTTTAACGGACATTTTAATCAAAAGACTAAAACTGATGCCAAGTGAAATAATAATAATAGTAATAATAATAATAATAACAACAACAACAACAACAACAATAATAATAATAATAATAATATGTAGGATACGGGCCCTTTAATTAGAGCCAAAAAATTGCTCTTTCCTCTGGAAGGTGTGAGCTGCTTCTGTAAGTGCAACCCCATTTCCAAAAAAGTTGGGACGCTGTGCAGAATGCAAATAAAAATAGAATGCAATGATATGCAAATCATGTAAACCATATATTTAACTGACAATAGTACAAATACTATTTAGTCAATTAAAGTTTTTGTAAATATGCGATATTTTGTAAAAAAATGATATTTTCTTTCAGTGTGATTTTTCAGTTTTCAATCGTCTTTCTTACGTTATGTTATGGTTACATTGTCTACTTTTTATTTTTCAGTTTCCTTTTTTTTTAATCTTTTTTTGTTTTTCTTGATTTTTGTTCTTGTGTTTTGTATGACTCATTTTGTTAATTGTTACCGCACTATTTTTGTCATGTATGATATGTCTACTGGACCCCAGGAAGAATAGCGGCTATCACAATAGCAGCTAATGGGGATCCTAAAAATAAACAAAAAATACACAAATACAACATATCAAATGTTGAAACTGAGAAATTGTATTGTTTTTTGAAAAATATATGCCCGTTTTGAATTTGATGCCAACAACACATTCCAAAAAAGTTGGGACGGGGGCATGTTTACCACTGTGTTTCATCACCTCTTCTTTTAACAACACTCTGTAAGCACTGGGGAACTGAGGAGACCAATTGCTGTAGTTTTGAAAGTAAAATGTTTTCCTGTTCTTAATTAAACATACGATTTTAGCTGCTCAACGGGGTCATATTTTTCATTTTATAATGCTCCATATGTTATCAGTGGGTGACAGGTCTGGACTGCAGGCAGGTCAGTTAAGCACCTGGACTGTTTTAATACGGAGCAATGCTCTTGTAATACATGCAGAATGTGGTTTGGCATTGTCTTGCTGAAATAATCAAGGCCTTCCCTGAAAAAGACGTCATCTGGATGGCAGCATATGTTGCCAAAACCATTATAAATGGTGCCTTCACAGATGCGCACGTCACCCATGCCATGTACACTAGTGATTTCCAAAGAGAATTTCAAATGTTGACCCGTTAGACCACAGGACACTTTTCCACTTCACCTCTGTTCATTTTAAAGGAGCTCAGGCCCAGAGAAGGTGGCAGCATTCCTGGATCCTGTTTATATGTGGTTTCTTCTTTACTATTTTACGTTGAGATATGTTATCCTTGATTGATTGTGCAGTCTTTCACAGAGAGGTGATCCCCATCTTTACTTCTGAAAGACTCACCCTCTCTGAGATGCTTTTTTATACCCAATCATGTTACTGACCTGTTGCCAATTAACCACCAGGTGTTTTATTAGCATTACACAACTTTGCCAGCCTTTTGTTGCCCCTGTCCCAACTTTTTTGGAACGTGTTGCTGGCAACAAATTCATCATGGGCAAAGATTTTTCAAAAAACAACAAACTTTCTCAGTTTCAACATTTGATATGTTGTCTTTGTACTATTTTCAATGAAATATAGGGTTTAAATGATTTGCACATCATTGCATTTTGTTTTTATTTACATCTTGCACAGTGTCCAAACTTTTTTCAAAATATATTGTATCCCATTATGCTCAGCACAGCATTCAGTTTACTTCATTTCTGCATTGCTCACTGGCTGATTCAGTGTTAAGATGTGTCAAAATGTTCTTCCGAATTGAGCAAACTGCATCAAATTCAACCCAAAAAGATCTGGTTAAAATGTTTCTTGAACTGATTACCTCTGAAAGCATTATCTTTTAGAGATAATGACACTGCTTTCGAATCAGCCGTAGTTCAGCGTGGTGTGAGTAGGCATTGTGATGGTCGCTGTAAAACATGTTTGGCAGCTTCTTTGATGCCTTTATGCTTGTGCTGTCTCACAAGTCAGCATTGTGATGAAAAAAAAAATCCTACCAATGTATTTTGAAAGAAAAGTACATTATGTTGTAAAAGATCAGAGATTTAGCAGAAAAACAGAACGCATGTGTTAATCGGCTTTAGTAGTGCACACTAGTCTAGATGTATAGATATAGTTTTGCATTTTTCACCAACAGGAAAAAAATGTAAAAACATAACGTATAATATCAATAATAAATAAATAAATATAATTTCATTTTTCAGACCTGTCCAGGGTGTATCTTGCCTTCCACCCAATGACTGCTGGGATAGGTTCCAGCTCCCACCGCGACGCTGAAGGATAAGCGGCTTAGAAGATGTGTGTGTGTGTGTGTATCATTTTTCAGTATTTATTGAGTCCATTCTGCAACTTTATCATAGCTTCCATTCCTTTCAGGAGACTCTCTTACTGTTTTTTACAGAAACCTGCAGGGATGTTTTTCCACACCTCCAAAATTCAGTCTCAGAACTTGATTTAACACTTTCTGCTTCTCACAATCCAAGTAATCAAAACACATTCAGTGATGTTGAAGGCTGGACTCTGGGGTGGTCAGTTCATTGTTCTGAGTTTTGACTCGACTCACTTACTACCGTTCAGGTACGTGGGGACAACAAGCAAAGTGCGAGTGTCTGTGTGTGTATGTGTAGTATGTTGAAATATGTGAACAATAGCATGAATTAATGAATAAGGCCATTGGCTGATGGAAGTAATGTGAAGTGCACATTGTCCACTCATGAAGATAAGACCAGATCTCTGCATATGCATCAGCCACATCAAAGCCTTCAAGAGATGAGTCTTATACCATGAACCCCATATATAAACCCATGTCTGTATCAGCTCACTACTGTAAGTGCAATTAAAACACATTAACCACTGCTCACAACGTTGCCACACCACTGACCTGCACATGACTCACTCTGGCTGTAAAAGGAGAATAGAAAATGAACTTGAAAATAAAAATAAATGATAAATTATTCCTGTCTGAAAACATCAGACAAACAAAAATAAATTTAATGGCGATGGTTTAACGATTATTTTTCCTCTTTTGCTTTTTATGTGCATTGATAGGCTAACTTGAATGGTTACATAGACATTTGATTTTTTTTTTTTTACATAGATGTTTTCTGTACACCATAATGGAGATTAAGGCAGATCTCTTAAAAGGAGACAGAATAGAAAGAACCCAGTATAAAAAATCCACAGGTATTTCTGTCCATCTTCCATTATGAGAGAACCACTCAGCACTGTGGGTCTGAAAGGATGTGTAGAAGCATCACTGAGAAAAGAAGATGGACACATCAAATAAAGAAGCTGAACAATGGACTGACCACCCCAGAGTTCAGACCTCAACATCACTGAATGTGTTTGGATTACTTGGATCATGAGAAGAAGAAAATGCTAAACCAAATATGTGTATGTCAGTATACTGTCTATTGTATAATACTGTATATTTGTAATCAAGCCAAACATGACTGATTACTACAACGATAGGTGTAATTATACATATGTGTGTGTGTGTATATATATATATATATATACATATGTTTGTATATATATATATATATATACACACACACACACACACACATATATATATATATATATATATATATATATAATATACATCATTAAAACATAAAGTTACAAAAACGAATCTCATAAATGAAACCACCATTTTGCAATATAGATAAAATATCACTGTGCCAGTTATAGTTATAGTGAACTATGCTGCCTGTCACAGTTTCCTAGTAACAGACAGAAACAGACAAAACAGAAATTAGGACACTGCTGGTGTTTATCCCAAAGTTAGGACAGTATTTAGGAAATTTTGTCCAGCCGGGATGCTTCTGTAATGCTCTTTTCGTATCTGGAGTTAGGATAAGATTGTGAAGTTAGAACCTGTTGTTCTGTAATAGCTCCTTCCTAACTGAAGTTGTGATGGTGAATAAACAGATAAGGTTTCAGAGTTGGGATGTTTCTGTAATAAGGCCCCTGGATTATCTCATTAATGAGAACTGCTGTGATCAGTCTGATAAGGTAATGGGCTGTTTCGGCCTGTTGGGGGAGCTGTACTTCTTGATCAGACTCGGCTGCTGTTCCTCCTGAACCGGAATAAACTCAGGCCGTGTGTTAGCTGTAGCTGTTCGGCTAAGCACGCTGCTTTGCTGCGTTACAGTATCTCACTTTTGACGGGCCGATTTTTAATCAAACAAAACTTGTTTTAAATCAGTCGTTTGGTTTGAACGTGTGTTTTTTAACGACGAGATGGGAGTGCCCGCGTTTTTTCGCTGGCTGAGTCGGAAGTACCCTTCTATAATTGTGAACTGTGTGGAAGAGAAGGTAAAGCTAAGCTAAGCTAATGCTATGCGCTACAAAGACGGAAGCAAAACGATGCGAAGCTGCTGAGATTATTAGCTTAGAAATACACAGTCAGTTTACCAAATAACTGAACAACCATTTGTAATGCATACAGGCAAAAGTATAGCTTAAAATCTTTTAAACCGTTTAGCTAGGCAGCTAATTCAGCTGCCTGGAGCGCGTTTTGTTGTGAGCGGTTAGCCGGTTAGCAAACTGAGGAGACTGAAGTTGGCTTTCTTATTCGACTTTTTCAGCTTAGCCCAGTTAACGCTGGGTAACACTAGTTAGTTGTGACGAAACCTGCCTGTGACTGTTGACTTAGACATTTGCTAAGTTAAATAAAGGGCCAGCAATAGTTTTTGACTTCGTAGCTAACAGCTTAGCACCCTTTAGCTAACGTGCTAACACTTCCATTAAGTGAATTGATGTTGTTAGCTTAACTTAAAGGCGAACGCCACTGGTTTTCAAACTTTTTGCGTAGTTTAATGGCTAAGATGTAAACAAAGCCATCCAGAGTGGTTTGGTGTGAAATACTCCATTCTAGAGAAACTTGGAGTCAGCATTGTTTACAGTGGTGTTGATGGGAACCAGACGTCTGAAGAGTTTAATGCCTTTAATAAGACGCTTATAGTCATTACATGAAATGGGTGTGGAAACACTGTTCGATGCCAGTGTTCTTTAGTAAATTGAATGGTTCTATTCAGAACTTACTGTTTTCAGATTTTCCACTAATTTATCGTCATCAACATTACACATAAAAGCCTAATAAAATATAAGACCCATATAGGTTCACCGGCTTTGGATGGTAAATAAATTGTGATCCCTGGTTCCTGTTGCCACCACTGTAAAAATAAATAAATAAATAAATAATCTAAAATCTATGAACCATTTCACACCAAACCACTCTGAATGGTTTTGTTTACATCACAATGACAGAACTGTGCAAACAATTTCCCTTTAAAGAATGGACATTTTTGTTGAAGTAGGTTAATGTTAGATAATTTAACAAAACGTTAGATGCTCGACAGCATCAGATTTTTGAAACCCAAGTGTGAGGTTTGATTCTCCTGCTACTACTGAGTTTTCATACTTTTCTGTGATTTTAGTCTGTTTTACTCCTGCATTGGTCCCTTCATCCGTGGTCCCATGTAGGTGTGTAAACTGCTGTTTGTCTCTTCTCTCTTTGAAAGAACAGAGAAGGAACAAGCAGCTCTCTCTGGGGTATGTTCTCTCATAGCTGAGGGAATAGTGCGCCAGTAAAGGGGCTCCGTTTTAGATTGAAGAATTACGTAAAACTATGAAGACTTCTGATTAAAGAGGATATTTTATAGTTATTAGGTACTGTGTACTGTGTTTTCCATTGTCACAAAAGTTGTCTGACACATTTAAAGTGATGGTTTGGCCAAAAATCTTCCTGTTCCAAGAATTTTCCCATTCCACCTTAAATGGTGCAGCGATCACTTTTTGGTGCCTCAGGCAAAATATGGCTCATGTTTTACGTCTCTGACCACCTCTCAGGATTGCGTATTTAGGCTGAAAATTGGCCAATGCCAATACATAGCTGATCGATCCTTCCAATTACGTAACTGTATATAAATTGATTGTCAGTTAAAATGCATCTTACTAGTCACTGCAGTTTAACAAAAACTAGTTTGTCATTTGAAAATCTGAAAATAAGACAACCTGTTAGGTGAACCATTCAGATACTGAGCAGAATCACTGCTAAGAGTGCATATTGTCCAGTTCCTAATGAAGTATACCAGAGGTGCCCTATCTTTCTCCTGGCGAGTTACCACCTTTCAGAACTAAGGTCCAGCACTAAAAAGTGCCGAAAAGTAAATAAACTTTGACTTGACTTAAATAATCTGCCACTCATGATTCAGGTAATGAAGACCTTCGGGGGCATTTGTATATTATTGAGTATATCTGAACTCTCCAGGGTGGTAGATCTCCAGGACCAGGATTGGGCATCCCTGAGGTAGAGCATTCCCCTCTCCCCATGCTCCTGTACTATTCTATGCTGCTTTGCTAATAGATTTCTCTAGTGCTTAAACTAGTAAATGTAATATTACTTTTGACTTCTTTTTTCCAGTCTAAGGAATGCAATGGAGTTCGAATACCAGTTGACACATCTAAACCCAACCCAAATGAGGTGGAGTTCGACAACTTGTATTTGGACATGAATGGAATCATCCACCCTTGCACACATCCTGAGGACAAGTGAGTATTTGCATTTGACTGAAACTTGAGTGGCAAACAGTATTTAGAGGACTTTAGCCAATACTGTTGTTGCTGTCTTCAGACCAGCACCCAAAAATGAAGATGAAATGATGGTTGCCATTTTTGAGTACATTGACCGACTCTTCAACATTGTTCGTCCAAGAAGGGTTCTTTACATGGCAATTGATGGAGTTGTAAGTATTTTGGGTCTGCATTTTATTGTTTTCAGTTTTGTCTTAAACAGCTACGCAGTTTTACGTGTGAGTTTTTTTCAGTGACGGAAGCTCTGTTTTCCATGACCTTTTTATAAGGCTCCTCGTGCCAAAATGAACCAGCAGAGGTCAAGACGATTTCGTGCCTCCAAAGAAGCAGTGGAGCTAGCAGATGAAAAACAGCGGATGAGAGAGGAAATTTTTCAGAGGGGTAGGGTCATGCTTTAGGTGGTCCTGATTGTTGTATTTCACTAGCTTCTTGATCGTTGTTGTATGAGTGTGTAATCATTTTTCAGTCTCATCTTCCACATTTGTGACTTATAGTTGATTGTTTTTACAGATAATTTCGATGCATTTCTATGTACTTAGTTTAGTCATGTACAAATTCAATTATTTTACTAAGTTGAAGAAACTAATAGGCCTGTGATGAAGCATCTGCCCGTTGGCTTTTGTTAGCAAAAAATTGCAACTTGATCTTTTTCTTAAGTGTGTCTGAGTCAGCTGTTTTCTGTTGTACAGAAATGTATAAGGAGAGGGTTTTTCACATGACTGCTAGAAATTAATTTATAAAAGGCTGAAATATTCCTTTAAATCCTTGAATACTGTACTTTTGTTCATGTTTTGTGCTTAGATGGCATGTGCACAGTTCTGTCCTACCACTTTGCTAGATTTGATATTGATTTTAAATATTACATTAATTTGACACATGTGGTCTATGAAGCTTAAATTGGCTTTCTTTTTCAAGGTGGGTACCTGCCACCCGAAGAAATAAAGGAGCGATTCGACAGCAATTGCATCACTCCAGTAAGTCAACTAAATCATTCTCATTTTTGGAATAGTTTGTGATAAATGATTAACCTAGTGTTAGGTAGGAAGGCTGTTCGCCACATGCTTTCAGAGTTTAGTGTGTGTGTGTGTGTGTGTGTGTGTGTGTGTGTGTGTGTGTGTGTGTGTGTGTGTGTTTTCTTTTCAAAAAGAGTGTTGTTTAAATAAACTACTTTCCCTTTTTCTCCTCAAACCCTAATCTGATTTGTGTTTTTGTCATATTTTGTGTAAAGGGCACAGAATTCATGGACAACTTGGCCAAATGCTTGCGGTATTATGTTGCAGACAGGCTGACCAATGATCCTGGATGGCAGAATATCACAGTAGGTTATGTAGCACTTATTAGTTCGGAAATTCTCTTCTGTTGAATGTGTTGTTCTGTAACTGGATTTGTCTTGCAGGTTTTTCTGTCCGATGCTAGTGTTCCTGGAGAAGGAGAGCATAAGATCATGGATTTTATTAGGAGGCAGAGAGGTAGGCTCCTTGCAAAATGTTACATTTGTCATTTGGTGTTATAATGTGAAAGTTCACTATTTTACACATTTAAGATCTGTCCTAAATAGCAGAACATCATTTCTACCGAGAGAAAGAATGATTTTAATGCACCTGGTCGGTCCAGAAATAGTAAAATTTGACTGTTTCAAACTGAGGCAGTGCATTAGCGCTTTAATAGTCTTGAAATTTTGGTTCGAATCTGAGTACAGCCAAAAATTGTATGTCCAAGTCCAACCAGAGCCTGACAAAATATATTCCAGTTACTATGGAGTGACAGTAATAGCCATTGATAGGTCACAGATAATGTAACAAAATAAGAAAATAATCAGCTGTTAAGCTTAAAAACGCTTATTCATCAGTACTTTCAATGTCTCAAACGTTTTAAATGAAGTAAATTTGCAACATTGATTTTTATGAACCAGAACACTCATTTGTTTTTATATAGCTATTTTCTGACTACCATTATATTTTATTTTTACTAAAACTGAAGACATGCTTAACGAAATGAAGGATACAAATGTTGTTCATTTTCTAGATATATGAAACTTAAAGTGAGTAGCACAGGCACTGGCTGTAAGCCAGTGAGTGGTGCTGCTTTGATGCCGCTTCTGTGGTTGTTGTTCACTAGTGTCAATGGAGGTGGAATATATTTGCAGTGAGCTTACCTCGATAGAAGTTATTCTGACATTTTTTAGCACCTCTTGACTTCAGAGGGCTAAACAAGTAGTCATCCGCTGCTCACAGAAAAATACTTTTCCCCTCTGTGAAACGCTGACTGTTTCTGTAGTGCCTCATGCACGACAAGCCGAGGGTCGAATGTTAGTGGGCCAGCACAGTTTGGTGAATTCTTTACTCAGAAACTCCTACTAAACATGGAAATTTGACAGATGAGTTTAACCAGCTGTGTTTGAGAAGGGAAATCATCTCAGACTCCATGTACCTTCTGGGACTAGGAGTTGAGTACCCCTGACGTGAATGGGTAAATCATCATGTATGTAAAAAAAACATGGAATATCATTGATGCTACTGCTAGTAGAAAAGTAGTGTGAGCCAGTTTGCTCAGCTCAGACTTGACGGTGCAACAAACAAAATTCATTTTTCCCTGACCACAACCTCTGTTTATCCCTTTGAATCAAATCCTTTGCTTCAGATTAAAGAAATCACTGTTTTGTTTAAGATGCTTTAAGTGCATGTTATTAATGTATAAAGAATAAGAAGTCTGTTTTTGACATCTGCCGTCATTAGCCTGGCTCAGTGGTCGGCAACATGTGGCTCTTTTACTGCCCTTTCGCAGCTCCACAACAGTATTAGATTTTTAGGTAGAAATAAAACAATCCTCATTTGCAGTAAAATAAAGCTCTGCTGATTGGCAAAACTTAAAATAAATGGTTTTAAATGCTGGAGTTAATGTAGCATCTAACTGCTAATTCTTTGATCTTTGACCCTGAAGATTAGCACCCAGACTGCTGGTCACGCAACAACACAGCCAACAGTCTTGCCTATAGTGTCTAACGAAATGGCAAAGAGAGAAATCTAAGACGAACGTCGATAATTTGGAGACCAACGGACTTGACTTGCGTTTATAAGCACCCCAGCTGGTTTCCTGATACGTTTAATCTGTAACAAGAAACTGTCAAACACTAAAGTCTCAAAGCTGAAGTCAGCTTCTCGTTCGCCAAGAATCATGCAAATGAAAAGCTGACTTCAGCCTCGTAAGAAGTCGAATGTTGAGAGACATTTTACAAGAAGCTATTCCACTTTTGCGGAAAAGTTTCCTGTCGAGATATGAGAAAAGCGACTATAGCTGAGTTTAAGCTTAAAGCAGAGCAAAGTAAGTCTGGATTTTCATTTGTTTTTAGCCTGTACTAGTACATTAGCACATACTGAGACACATTTACAGCCAAGATGGTAAAATGGACACAATGTTGTGGCTCTCAAGGTGATTTGATTTGATTTTTGTTGAAAGAACAAAATGGCTCTTGTTAACGTTTGGGTTGCTGACCTCTGGCCTAGCCTAATGTTCTGTCTTTTTATATATTTTTTTTTTAATCAGCTCAACCAAACCATGATCCAAATACTCATCACTGTCTCTGTGGTGCTGATGGTAAGTGACAAATTTATTGTTACTGTCATCATTGGCATTTACTTTGTTCTTCAAGCTAGAGTGCATTTCTCTGTTTCTTATTCTGATCTGCACCCCTTCCATCATTTTATAATTGAACCTTACAAGCTAATTCTATTTATGAAATGAGATCCATCCTGTTTTTGTGCGTTGGCTCTGTTCTGCATTTTAGAGAAATTGCAGTAATAAGCTTGCTGATGCTTGAGAGGGATTTATTGAACTGGCTTAGAAATGGCTGGAACAGTCTGGCTAAACTGCTGTGAATAGGAGCAATTACACTGGATGTGCAGTATAAAGACTGTAGCAATCGACAGCCTGTGATGCACTTAGTGGACAAAGGAGGAAAAATATTGCATTGAGTTAGCTTTGAGTGGAACTTGGTGTTTACTCCTTTCAGCAACTCTAAAGTATCCTTCTTGGTGAAAGGTGCCATTGTGTGGATGTAAGAACCATATTTCTCAGGAGCATAATGCATGTAACCAGACCCATCGTTAGTTCTTAATGTGTGCGTTATTATATTAAACAACTGGCTGTATGTACCATAATTATCATTGCATTTATTGAATGTAATGTAATGGATAAACCATCTTTTGAAAACTTGTTAGTGCTTTGCAATTGAGATTTTACAAATTAGCATTAATTAAGTTAATGAGCTTCTGCTTCCTTTCACTTATACTATTGGACTGGGAATTTACACAATATTATAAATGTGAACCAAAAATGTCCAGAAAGGAAACTTATAAAACATTCTGAAGCACCTATGAATTAACTTTGGTACGAGAGGGCAGTTCCACCATTTTTCAAGATATCAGCATAGTTTTGTCTTGGAGGTTATCATTGAAAGTGGATTGATGTAAAATGGTTCATTGTAGAGAAACACACTGATTCAGGTTTGTTTACAGCGGTAGTGAAAGGAACCAGGGCTCGTTATGTACACAATGCAAATATAGCCGTTTTATTTACTCTCCAGAGTGAATAGTGAACCTACAGGGGTCTGAGGTTTTAATGTTTTTTTGTTTATTTTTAGGATCTCCATTAGCCGCTATTCTTTCTGTGGTCCAGTAGACAAACTATACATGACAAAATAGCGCCATAACAATTAATGAAGCAAGTAATACAAAACGCGAGTAAAAAATAAAAGAAAAACAAAACAAACTGAGAAAAAAAAAACATGGAAAAATGGAAAATAACGTGTGGATGGTGAAATGGTGATAAATCTGAAAAAGTATGTTTTTTGTAGGATCTAAAATATTTTACCTTACTAGCACTGCATGTGCCTCTCCACCCTGAACAGATTAAGAAAAAAAAAACATTTTAGACCAGAACCTTCTTAAAGAACAATTATGCTACAGTTTCATAACCTTTTCATTTATTACATTTTCGGTGAGGGAGCCTTTAGAGGTCTTCAGACGTCCGGTTCCTATCATAACCACTGTTGTGATGTGTGGTTTTTCTAGAACGGAGCATTTCACATCAGACCACGTTGAATGCCTTTATCTACAGCTTAACCGCTGAATTCTGCAGAAATTTTGGAAATTCTTTTTAATGGTCAAGTCATGGAAACCATGTGTGAAGTGCATAAAATGTAATTTTACAGAATAGAATGTTAAATGCTTATCTGTCAATATGGTGTGGCACCAATACAAGTGCCTTAAATATTCGCCAGCACGGACCTTTATGCTTATCTATTCAGCTTGCATTAATTAGCTCTTTCCTGTCTGTGCTAGCTGATCTGATTATGTTGGGCCTGGCCACACATGAGCCTAACTTCACCATCATCCGAGAGGAATTCAAACCCAACAAGCCCAGACCCTGTGCCCTGTGTGGGCAAATAGGGCACGACATTAAAGACTGCCAGGGAGTGGCCAGAGAGAAGAGGGGAGAGGTACTACAACTGTCATTACAATCATTTAGTGCAGATATTATATTTTGCTTATATATTTCTTTTCTTTTTCCCTAGCATGATGAATTTGCAGATACAATCCCGGCATCTGAACAGGAGTTTATATTCCTTCGCCTGTCTGTTTTGAGAGAGGTCAGTTTATATACACACAGAAAACACTGTAGTTTCTAATTATGAAAATCAATTGACTACATAAACTGATGTTTTACCACATACAAACTGACTGGTTTTATCTAGACCTTTTTCCCTGGCTGCTCATGGCTCTTCAGTTTGATCGTTTGTCCTTGAGTCTTTCTTTTTTGTTGTTATTGTGCTGGCCGTTGATGGTTGTTGCTCCTCTTTAGTATCTGGAGCGGGAGCTGACGATGGCCAGCCTGCCTTTTCCCTTTAACTTCGAGAGGAGTGTGGATGACTGGGTCTTCATGTGCTTCTTTGTGGGAAATGATTTTCTGCCCCATTTACCCTCTTTAGAAATCAGGTACGTAAAGATGACCTTCCAAGGCTGCACTGCGCTCTGGTGTTTACCAGAAACACAGTATACAGGAATATGGCGATGTGTGTTGTGGTGTTTTATTTATTTATATTTTTATAAATAACATAAGAGAGGGTTGTGGGGGCTGAGTATCTGCTGATGTTGATCTAGATAATGTGGAGACATATAACCTTTAATTCTACGGTTACAAATGCAGTGAAATGGATAACATGCACATATTTTAGAACAGCCCAGTATCACATTCTGCTCTTCTGGAGTTCAGCAAATACATCAAATATTATCGGTTAAAATAAAGGAATATAGAAATGTCTGTCCAGTACAGTTAAAATTATTATTTTTTTTTGTGTGTGTGTGTGTATTCAATATATTTGAAAATATTTTGACCAAAAGAGAGCATGTCCTTTATAGAATATTACAAACACTACCTTTGATCACTTCTAACATTCCAAAGTCAGTGCATCTGAATAATCACCTTTACATCTGCCCTTTAAAGAAACTGCTGCATTCAAATGTAGGCTTCCCCTCCAACTGATTTCCGTTTAAGCTGTTATAGCTCTATGCTATTATTCAGTAATCCAGGATATGAGAATTCTCCTGCTCTACCTTCTTATGCAGATGTTTTTAGGCATGACCTGTCATGTTTCTTCACTGATTTATGTGTCTTTTTCCAGAGAGGGTGCCATTGATCGACTCGTGTCCATTTATAAAGATGTTGTGCACAAGACTGGGGTAATTAACACGATTCTGTGCATTTCTGAAGCTTTATTGTGCCTGCCTGCTTGGTGAGAGAAATACTTTATAAAAGGTGCTTTCTTGTAGGGTTACCTCACAGAAAACGGCTTTGTCAACCTGGAACGAGTGGAGCTCATAATGCAGGCTGTGGGAGTTGCTGAAGATAACATCTTCAAGAAGCGCAAAGAGGATGAGGCACGTTCTTCCATTTGACTATCAACACTTAAGCAAGCGCAGATACAGAGGAACAGCAGTTTATGCTACGTTCTTTTGTTCGTTGATGAGTTTGTTGGTGACTCGAGTGAAATAACTCATACTTTTCCTGCAGGAAAATTTTAAAAAGAGGATGAAGGAGAAGAAGAAACGATTGAAAGTAAGTGAAATTGGCTTGCATTATTTCTTAAATGTGCCTTTCATTTCAAATAAGTTTATTTATTTATTTATTTTTTTTAATGGTTATAAGCTATGTCAAGGTATTTTAAATAAACCTCTGAACTTTGCATGCGCTCAGATATACGCGCTCTGCCTATGAATTGTGACTGCGGGCAAGGTCGTTTAATTTAATTGACTGCTGCTGAATACACTTTCATTATTGGACTGCAGTTATGGCAGAATATTCACCTGTAATGAATGGTGCACATCGTCGTGTGTTGCACATATAATTGAAAGAGCGTGCATTAGTTAACTGAATTGCTTTAGCATTGAGAGTTCATGATGTCTGGGTTGGGGAGGGGGGGGGTTTGCTGTAATAAAACCAAGAATGTCACTTAGTCACTTGCGGTTAGAGTGCACTCTAATGACAGCGGTAGTCTAGATATATGACTGCAATGTGGAACAAGTATGTTGGGAGTAATACTTTTTTTTGTTTTTTTTTTGGTTAACAAAAAAATTGAGTTTATTACTTTTATTGGTAGAACTAAGATTTGCAGCGGCAATATTTGAACCAGGCATTTACCCTGGTTCTCCATGTCACCTGATTCCACAGCAGCATGCGGATTTAGAAGTAAAGTTGTATTCTTGTTTATTTTTTTGTAAAATTTATGCTGTTTACTAGATATAAATGAAAATCTTAAGTGAATTAACAGTTTCATTGAACAGTTCCAGTTCAATGAAAAGAACGCAGTCTTGTGAGCAGCAAAGTTAGTTTAGTTTTCAGATAGTTTCTTTCTTCAGAGTTTTCAGTTAATGGGAACCAGGGGTCGTAATGGCTACAGCGCAAATGTAGCCATTTTTTTATTACCCAGAATCGCCAGTAAAACTCTTGGTACCTATGAGGTTTTTGTATGTAATGTTGACAAGAAGATAAAAAGACTATTTTGACGATAAAGTCGAAGGACTATTTTGCCTTACAACACCCTGCATGTTCCTCTGGGTTTAAAAAATGTGACCAAAACCTCACCTCAGTTCTATTGTAAAACAGTGTCTCTGGCATCAGGTAAGAATTACCCTTTTACATACCTAATTCAACTAATAACCCTCCATGGGCTTTTGTCAGGAGACTTACAGCTGGGCTGAAAATGTGCACTTTTTGGGTTCCATAGGGTTACGATGACAACTTATGTATTTGCACACCTACAGGCAGAACAGGGCCCAGCATTTCTCCCGGGTGGTCAGTTTGCCCCCCAAGCACTGGGGGGCCGAGACAGACCTCTACCTGTGCAGAACGCACGTCACACCGCATTTGACATGAGGATGCAAGGAAACCGTTACCAGCAGAACAAGGTACACAACTGTACTAAGAGCTCTGCACTAGGTTTTTTTTTTTACTTTTTAGAGATGATTTTTATTGAAGTCATTTTTGGATCAAGTTGCTTTAAAGATTGCGTTTCTAAACTGCTTGTGGCCTTGGTGTTTTGTCATTTTTGTTTTGGACCAGAATGCTGCAGAGTCCTTGAGAGCTACGTTGAGAAATGGGAGCAAGGCATGTAACTCTTTATTTCTTCTGTCTGATCTTTGTCCTAGTCTAGTTTAAACAGTTTTAAAAAAGCTGACATCTTAAATTCTAAACTCTTAAAGATAAAACAAATGACTTGTTTTGGATTAAGAAAATGAGTTGTTAATGGAGCCCAGTGTAGATGCATATAAATCATTTGCTTCTCAATAAGGTAAGTTTGGGGGGGGGAGGAGAAGAGGGGACACCACCCCTCTTCCCTTTGGCATGCTGCGTTATGAGATGAGACAGAGCACAAATGAGTTCCCATTGTAACTGTGATCAGAGATTCTGTCTTTGTCACTTTGACACCAGTCAGTTGCTCAGATATAAGACTTTATCCTCTTTTCTTGCCTCAGTGTAGCATCATTGAGCCAGAATGTACCCGTGTGATTGTCTGTGAAGCTGTTGAAGTATTCTCTAACTTCTAATGCTTACAAGAGTTTTGAAGCAAAAGTAGCTTAAGCTAACAGTTCTACACCCAGAAACACAGGTTTACATCTTTATTCTCTACATTTGCTTCAGTGAGTTGAGGAGGAGTTACCCATTTAAAATCCACGCTTCTGATTTGATTGAATAACATGAATCAAAGCGCTACATTCACAAAATATAAGGCAACTAGTTGTTTACCACAATGAGCAGTATCTTGGTTTAGGTGTATCAGCAGCATTCAGAGTCAAGTAAGTGCACTCTTACCTGGCTCATTACATCCTTAACTGATGTTATTACGTAGTGAAATGGCAACACAGGTTGGTCAAAATAAAAATAATTAGTTGGCCAAATAAATGTTTAGAACAAAAATCTGCTGATTATTAAGCATGACTAATATGTTGTGTTTTAGCTTCAGAGATGACTGGCAGTGCTATGTCATTAGGAGAGTAAAAACAAAATGTTTATGAAATTATGTAACCTTGATCTAATAAAATGTCAGATGTTTGAGTATTGAGGTACTCTAGTTTTACTGGTGAGGTGACCTAATGTCCTGGGTAAGCAACATAGAAACGTAGGATAATTTAGAGTACTTTGGAATAATTTATAGTCATACTGACACTATTTTTTTTTTTTTTCGTCTTAGGCCACTGCAGGGCCTAGCGATGGCATGGACAACCGTGGCCTGAAGAGGAAAGCTGAAGACAGCGACAGTGAGCCAGAGCCTGAAGATAATGTCAGGTAATAAGCTGCTTGGATCGCACTATAATACATCGTTAATCTCTCCTTCAGTTGCACACTGCACCCCCCAAACCTCCCCCCAAAACCAAACCCCAGCATGGCTCTAACGGTGGTACCTTCTACAAGTGCCAGTGATTAATATGGAAAGGGGAAATATTCTCTAAAAATTCCTCTGCGATGCAGTTGCCAAAGCTGTTAAATCCGTTGGACTAAATTGGTATTCATGGCGGCTTTCCTTGCCCCTGTGGGGCCGTGTAGAGGATTGGCTAGACAGATGCCGTTCATCCTTGATTATGTGACCGGAGTGCTGCTGCATTTCCACAGCCCACCAGAACGGCCAGGTCCAGTGCAGAGCTGAAAAATAAATTTCTCTTTGATTCTTAATGGGTTCTGCCGCATAGGAAAATTCATGAGAGGTGAATGTGTATGGAAGAGCCCTCGTGTCTTTTTGACACATGAAAACCTTTAAACTGCTGACCAGGTTAATGGAAGTAATTGATATTCCTTCAATCCCCATTTAGCTTCTCTGTCTCTGCTGTATTTTTGTATCTGGTTTCTATGTTTAACACGCTAATGTCTGAGTTAATGTAGTGGTTTTGGTTTTGCATATAGATTGTGGGAGGATGGCTGGAAGCAGCGCTATTACAAAAACAAGTTTGACGTGGATGAGACTGATGAAGAATTTCGCAAGAAAGTAGTCAAGTCATATGTGGAGGGCCTGTGTTGGGTTCTTAGATACTACTACCAGGTGCGTAACTTCATCAAGCAGGCTGAATATTGCAGTCATGGTGTATGATGTCAAAAATATAGCCTCATGATACTTGACTTTGTTACAGTACGCAAGATGTACTTTTACTTTTCTGAGATTTTTCACAGAGAAATTGCACCAGCAACACAGTAGAACAAGAAATTAAAATTATCGCAATTAAGCAAACTTGTTGTAGTAATTGACAATCACATTTAGGCTTAAAACATTCTTTTAAAAAACAGTGTGTTTTATTATAGCTTGCAAAATAAGCTTCTTCAGAATGTATTTGCTGTCAGTTATTTAATAACATTCTGTGAATGCAGAGCTCACATGAGCATGGTTTTCAGAGTGAACACAGGTTCCAATTTTCATCGCAGTTTTCCAGTGAGAGCAACAATAGTTGTATGTTCCACCCAATGAGTGTCTATCATATACGTTCAAATGTTGAAATCCATAACTGTAGACCCTCGCTGCGGTTCAAAGACATGCAGTCAGGTCAATTGGAGATACTAAATTGCGTGTGTGTGTGTGTGTATGTGTATGTGTATGTAAATGTATATGTCTGTCTGTCTGCCCTGTGATGGACTGGTGACCTGTCCAGGGTGTTTCCTGCCTTCCGCCCAGTGACCGCTGGGATAGGCTCCAGCACCCCCCTATAACCCAGGAGGATAAGCAGCTTTAGAAAATGAATGAATAATTTGTCATGTTAATGCGTTAAGTTTTCCCACATGAGTCTAATATACTTTATTTGTTTCTGCACTACACAACGTTCATCTACACAGTTTATCCCAGTATGCTGTTGATTAAGTCCCTCTATTAGTTTGTTTTCTTTACCAAAGTATTGGTTGTACCCTGAGGTAGATTGCATGTTTCCCTCTTTATTTCTACGCCTAGAATTGAAGGATTGCCTCTCATCCTTCTGTTTGCCCACCACTCATGGGATCAAACAGCCTTTTCTGTGTTTGCCTTGTCCTCTGCAAGACCTATATTATCTAGTCAGTTTTAAATGTAGGTCTTGATCTTTTAGCTTCAAATTCAATAATTAGCGGTCTATTCTCTCCAGCAGATCCCAGTCTGATTAGGGCTCCGGGCTGAGGGATTTGTGTGCAGTAATTGGGAGCTGTGCGCATGCCGGGGCTTGTGTTTGACTCCACATGCTGGGCTGTAGAGAGCGCTCCCCTGGGACATGCTGAATGGGTTCATTATGAGGTCTCGCTATTGCTAGAGACGTGTCTGCTGCCCTCCGACACACATTCATAGATTTAGCGCTGCCTGTCTTTCACAGACATGCGCACACAGTGCCAAATTGCTGTATGAAGAGGATACATTTTGAGGAGTAAAGTAGAGGGCACATCTCCACATGGCTTTTATTTACCTACATTAGGGCATCTTTCCTTTGCATGGGGCTTTGGAGGTTGTCCAAAGACATGGACTTACTGGACCTTTTGGCTTCCTTGCACTTGACAGTATTCATGTTCATTAATGAGTGTATATGAGGTAGAAAGCGTTGTTCTCACAAAACAGCCTCAGATCATGTCCTTAAATATTCATGATCATCAGGCAGATGAACAGTATTCATATAGTTTAGCAGACCAGTTTGAGCTCTGTATGCCACAACAAACATTTATTATTGTTAGTTATTATTATTGTTATTATTGTTATATATTATTATTTTTGGCTTAAACACATTTTCATTACCACAGTATGTCCAGTTTTATGCTTCTCCCATGTAAACCCTAAATAAATTGAACCCAAAAGAACCATGTTCTATGGTACAAATGAAAGAGAAGCCTCAATTGTGTTGGGGTAATGAGAGAATTGCAAATTGCTGTATTTTGTAAAATTATTTATGCTTTCTGATAACTCAGTCTACACTTGTCAGGCTATGAAAAGTTGAGGGGGAAAAATTAATTTACTATAATTTATGTTACAGTAATAAGAATTAAGACTTGACTAAGAATTAAGTTGATTACTTAATTCAGGTTTATTTTCAATCATTCCACCAGGCTTCATGGTTTATATCTCCAACAAAAGATATTTTTCCAGTTGATTCCCAGTATTTGTCATCTTTGTGAGAATAACGCAATCACAGTGCTGAGTTTTGTCTTTGCAGTAGTGCAGAATTTGCTTGGTGTATTAGGCTGTCAGACACAGCTGCCTGTTAACGTGCCTCAGCTCCACAGACAATTACAGTTTATCTCTCACCTTAAAAGTGAAGGTCAGAAATGAGAATTCCAGCACCAAGGATCGTGCTTTTGTACCGCTAGCTGTAAAATATTATTTTTTTTATTATGTTAAGGTTATTTGCCTGTGTTCATTGTGTATTTCATAAAGGAAGGTGGCATGCCTGTTTGAGAGAAGCACGCGTGAGTTCATGTGCATGTCGTTATTGGTTCTGTTCTTGAATTGTGTGGCCCAAGTAATCTTCGTTCGTTTTCTTGTCCCTTTTCAAAGTTTTATTTGAACGAGGTTTCATGCTGTTGGGTATCAAGATCCCATGGTGAATTCAGGTGCATGAAATGGAAAGGAGTAGTAGAATAGACTAAATATGAGAACTGAATGCAGAACAAGCTTGGAGATACTAAGGACTTGGACAACACAGTATTTTGTAGGTTAAAAGCAAGTGAAGATGTCTACCTTTTCTCTCTCTCATGACTTCTATGTAATGTAAAGTCCCTGTTACAGTCTGATTGTTTTTATAGCTCATTAAGTGTCATTTTCTCTTTCGCAGGGCTGTGCATCCTGGAAGTGGTACTTTCCATTCCACTATGCACCGTTTGCATCTGACTTCAAAGACATCAAGGACATGTTCATGGATTTTGAAAAAGGGACTAAGCCGGTAGGTGGAATAAGGGAACCTTATTGACAGGATCCTAGTGCTCTATACCAGTATTGGTGTCAAACAATAATATAATAATATTGTTAGTGTTATTGTTGAAATACCAAAACTTGGTTGACTACATTGTATATCATTTGCTAGGTTGCTTTAGATTGTGGTATTGTGTTTTAAAGCATTTTAAAATGCATTACTTTGGAAATCTAGTTTGTGTCTAGTTAAAGCTTTTGAAGAATTTTTTTTTAGATGTAGCATTACTGTGTCAGGAGGGGAAAAAATACATGCTAAAATATAGTGTGAGTGTTGCTACAAGTCACCATGTAAAGCTTTAAATATTTTAGTTAGACTTGTCAGGTCGGTTTTTGCAAGAGACCAGGGTTGAGAGACACTGATTTAGACAGTACCATCTCAATTTTTATCGACACTGTCTAGAACTGTTTGTCCCAAAGCAACACTTTAATCCAGAAAAGATTAGGTGAGGTCATTAAGACCCTGCTGAGTCATGTTTGCTACTGAATTCTTTTATTTCATTTTCCCTTTTAATCTTTTTCCCTGTAGTTCAAACCCCTGGAACAACTTATGGGAGTGTTCCCTGCAGCCAGTGGGAATTTCCTTCCAACAACATGGAGGGCACTGATGACTGATCCTGTGAGTGCAATTTATATGTAGACAGTCACAGAATGGACACTGACGGCCTTTAGTTATCTTAAATGCTCAAACCGCTCTGGTTGATAGCATACTCATTTGTGTTCTGTTACACTAAACATCTCATTTTTGCTTTTACAGGACTCCTCTATCATAGATTTTTATCCTGATGACTTTGCTATTGATTTGAATGGGAAGAAATACGCCTGGCAGGGTAACTAAGAAAATTGTATTGTGAAATCCTGCGTTGTCTACATTCTATTTTTTATGGCTTAATGAGAGAAATGTTCTTGTACTTGAAGGTGTTGCTTTGTTGCCGTTTGTTGATGAACGCAGGCTGCGGGCAGCCTTGGCAAAAGTCTACCCTGATTTAACTGCAGAGGAAGGTAAGTGCTGGGACTATGAAGGTGTATCATCATCATCATCATCACAATAATAATAATAATAATAATAATAATAATACTTTATTTAGACTTCATCTTTCACACATGTAAATGCACCTCCGTGCCTCCAATGATATTAAATAGTGTGAATAAAGCAGCGACGATAAATATATAAAACATAAAAAAAGTGGGCCATCTTGAAGTTTAACATTGATGTAATTGATGAAGTGTCAGCTTAAAGTTGACACATTTACACCCTCCTTTCCAATTTTAAGGTGCTGTGAAGATAATTTGTTTTGACACATTTTAATACCGTGTACTACTTTGCATCTTTTCTCTTTCAGTCAGAAGGAATAGTCTGGGCAGTGATGTGTTTTTTGTGGGGAAGTCACACCCCCTGTGTGATTTCATCATAGAACTCTACCGTTCAGAATCTCACGAGGTACGTTAGTCTTTTCCTTACAACTTCTCAAACCCTCTCTGTCCTGCTGTTCCTGCTGATTTCATGATCTATGTATTAGCAGGTGCTAAGTAAATATAGTAAGAATCGTTGGAGCTAATCACATAGTGGAGGAATGGAGTGACAATAGGCCCACAGAATTCAGAACATTGTTTCCAAAATATTAGTACTAAAAATCAAGAAAGTGATTTACCAGTAACTACCAGTTCCGCAAAGCTTCACTAACCCTGTGAATGAACTCTTGCATTAGGTGGTATTATTACCGATTATGTAAGGAGGTTGGTATAATGTAATTAATGTCAGAGCCCTCCATGTGACAGATTAGTGTTGGGATTCCTACCTACATTCACCTACCTCTGTTCCATGATTGGTCTTTTAGTCCATAGTTCCAAAAAAGTTGGGACAAGGGCGATTTAAGACTAGGAACATTGTGAAATGTAAGGTTGGGTCAAGGCCTGCCCCTTCCTGATTAATGGAATAGCAGTAAAGTGTATATTGTTCCAAAGGCTGAAAGCAGCCCACCTCCAGCATTATAGTAAACTGCGTGTCACCCTCACTGCTGCTTCCATAATTTAAAAAGCGAACTTGATAAATAAAAACAAGTAAAGCAATAATTCTAATTTTGTTACATCTTTAGCATCTACACTACAGTGACTCAGAAAACACAAGTGACTCCCAAAAGCTGTATTTGAACGAAGCAGCTACAATTACAAATTCTGTCTTACTGCTGGATGGCACATGAGCGGCTGGGCTTCAGCCTGACTAGTAGTATGTTGTTACTGCCTCCTGGTAAACTGCAGTGACAAACTTATTTAAATTATTAAACTGTTTGTAAGCCTTACCTCCACAAAACAAACCAAAAAGAATCGTAGGCTGCTCATTGAAATGTTTTTTTGAATAGTGCATGTCAAGTTCTTAAATTTAGATTCCACAAGCCATATTAGTCTGAACTTTCTTTTAGAGTCTGAACCATTTTTATTTTGTATTTGATTTGCTCTCCTGGTCATGATGTGAAATAAAAACACTGCTTTTTTGTCTTCTAGTGCAATTCTTTAGTAAAAAAAAGAATATTGTGATATGTCTGAAGTACACTTTAACAATTGCCCCCTTTTTTTTATTATTTATTTATTTTTTATATCGTCTACCCCTAATTGATCATGCAGGGCCTGTACCAGAGCTTTCTTTAGAAACCTGTATATTCTAATGGGTTTGCTTCTCTGTTCCTCTGTGGTTTTACTCAGGGCACAGAGATTCCTCCAGAGCTGTGCCATGGAATCCAAGGTACATTAAATCTTGATGAAGAGCCTATTCTACCAGATAAGTAAGGAACAAGCATTATTACAGTATTTTTGTTTCTCTTCACATTCACTGTTTCTTGACATACTTTGTGACCTCTCTTTGTAGGGAGATTAAAATAAAATCTAACAAAGTCTGAATCTTTTTTTCCTCCTCGTAGACCTGTAGAATCTCCAGTCCCATTGTTGAGAGATATTCCATGCAGCAGTGCAGTGGGGTAAGCCATGCCCTCTTTATTGCTTGTATTAAAAAGCAGTGAAGTACAATTTTTTTTTAAATAAAGAAAAGGTATTCTGGCCTAAAATTAGCATTTGATATGCTAATATTTACTATGCTATGTAATAGTTGTAGTTTGTAGTACAGCATTGTATTCCTGCAAGTTGTAGTTGTTTTCAAATGTTCGTTCCCCCTTTAAGATAAATCTTCAGAAGGGGGTTTAACAGAAGGAGGCTAGTAGACATGTTTACACAACTCATGTAGCAGTGGTTAGTTTTTTAATTAATTTTTTTGGTTGATCAGTGCCCATTTAAAGCCTCTAGTAAGATGCTAAATTGCATTTAAACTGAATGGTAACAAGTTAAGATTTATCAGTAAAATAGGCTTGTGATCCTGGTCAACTCCTTGTGAGAGATTTGTCTGTGTTTGCTAGTGTAGAATTCCTGTTCGACATGTAGATTTCCACCTACATCTGCCTGCTCTTTTTATTTTAAAAAAGCAATATTAGGCTGACCTCAAACTCTATGACTCCTATTGAATCCCTTCTCCAAGTTGTGCCATTCTCATTGAATACAAAGTTGGACAAGGCTACTGCCTGTACTCTGGACTAGTACAATTTATCTGAATAACTTGGGTGAAATACTATTGCTCAGTTTTTCTCTGTTCAACAGGGTTGCCACCTAATATTTGTTCTTCAGGTCATCCAGTCTTTGATTTTTCTTCCTGGGGAACTCAATAAAAAATTTGTTTTGATCTGTATCTGGGGACATAATCACACTTTTTCTGGCTTTAGAATCAAATTCAAGGATCCACAGTATGAGGAAGGTCACGTGTTCAAAGCCGTCGTCCTTCCAGGGGCTAAGTACGTACAGGCTCTTCTCCTTTCTCATTTATTAACACTGATGGAATGAGTTGCTGCTGCTGTTGCTGTTGTGGCATTAGAAAGATGGAAGTAGAACAGTAAAATGTATTTGTTGGGCTTTACCAATACTGCTGTGTGAAGAACTTGAGCATGTCATGAACGCAAACAAATGTTTACAGAATGTCTCCAGGTTGAGTGCCTTACTGTTTGCATGTATTTCATGATTTTTTTATTTTTTGGCCATCCTGCACATTCAGTGCTAGACTGCAGCCCATTCTTTATGAAGAAACGTTCAGGGTTCATCTGTTTTGATGCATTTTTTTAATTATGAATAATGATTTAATTGTTTGATAGGTATGTTGATGCAGCCTCCTGCATATAAGCTTTATAGCAGGAATGTCAAACTGGGGACCTTCCAGGCCAAAGTGCTGTGTTTACCTTCATGTAACGCTGAATTGAGTTAATGAAGGCTTTGCTAAGTAGCTGATGAGCTGAATAATGTGTGTTTAATGACACAGTGTGCTGAAGTCTGCAGTGTTTTGGCCTGTGAGGACTGGAACCTGGCACATGTGCTTTATAGGCCAGATGTACGTGGTCCATAAAGAAATTGTGAAAATGATCATAGACTATTTCTGTCTTTAGATAGCGTAGTTATCTTTGGTATTATAGATGTTCAGCATGGTGAATATTTCTGTCCACTGCAGTCTGTTATAGTGTGGTGTGTGGGTTTTTTTTTTTTTTTAATTAATTTATTTATTTTTAAATATAACATTTTCTTAATGTGCCTTACTGAAGCTATTGCTTACCAAGGGAGGTACTTTCAGACTAAGCATCTTAAATGCACTCTTCTGTACACCATATGGTGCATTTGGTAGTTAAAATTATTCCAAAAATAAAAAAAGGAATATTTTACTATTTTGCAGAAATGCACACAAGTTGACTTTCATATGAAAATTTTCAATGTGTAATCTGGTTGATTTTGTGCACTTTCAGGATGCCCAATAAAGTGTTGAAACCTGGTGACTGGCATAGGTCTAATAGCGGACCATGGAAACCTCAGCTGGGGTTCAACCCGAACCGTCAGCAGGTTCACTTGGACCAGTCTGCCTTCAGGACCTTAGGGTAGGTGTGAATCACACTGATATTATTTTTATTTATTTATTTATTTTTTTTTATAACAGAAAAAAATAAAGACCAGGGCCCTCTGCATTGTCAAAAAAATTAGCATTCCATCAAGCTGTGTATTTTGCAAATGTACTGCAAACACTATCAACTTTTTATTGTATAGAAAATGGAGAAGTGCAAGGGTAGCTGCTTACAAACTTTAATTGAACATCTGGCAAATTCATCTGGCCTGGATGTTAAATGATGAATTATGCATTGTGCTGTGATTTATGCAGATTTTTGTCCACCATAGCCTTAATTTCTTAATGAAAGCCATTATTGGGTTTGATTAGAACAGACAGGTGCTTGTCTTTCAAAGCAGAAAGACGCAGCCAGAGTTTTAGCTTTTTCTTTTTTTTTGTTTTTTTTTTCCCTTTTGGTTATTCTACCCTAGATAATGGTGTAAACTAATATCAAATGTGTGATTGAGTGGTAAAGAACAGTTACAAATGAGTAAAATGTTCTGGAGCTCTGAAGATTTCACAATTTATTTATTTTTTTACTCCCTTTTCCTTCCTTTTAATCAGCCATCATATAAACAGCCATCAGCAAGGAAGTGGTCAGTACAACCAACCACGTATCGGCCAGCATGTGGGTGGTCAGTATAGCAATGCCCCGCCTCCCAGTGTATATCACCAAGGAAACTACAGACCGCCCCTCAGAAAAGACCCACCCCCATTCCAGCGTGAGTACCACAACCTGCCCTTCAGGAGGGTCACTATTTAACGGCTCAATATATCCTTCAATGGGTCGTTGACAAGACGTGGATTTTATTTATTTATTTATTTTATTATGGTCCAAGTCTGATTTTTCCCAAGAAGAATTTAATAAATACATGACACTTCAGATTATTCAACAGTGATCATTTAATGTCATAATTCAGTGCATCCATATAAAATTAGTTTTAGTTTCTTTTTGCCTCAAGTCTAAAAATATCAGGTTGTACAACTGCTGTACCATATGTTTATTAAATCAACTATCAAAAACAAATTGTTATACACAATTCTAAATAAAATAGTTTGGCATATTTTTTATTTTCAAAATCTTAAAATAAAAACCATGTTACGAGATGAGGCAACTTTAAAAGTACTTGACTCACTGAAAAACCTTTATCTGCAATCTTACTTCTTTAAATGTCAGACGCCACAGCCAAAAACGCTTCTCATCTAAATTGCTTATACTCCTTGGTCAACTCTTAACGCTTATTGAAAGCTTTAACACTAATTATATTTAAAATCTAAAATCCATATAGATATGAATGTAAATGCAAATATATATTTAACTATAAAAATGAACATTGTGCCTTTTTTCGTAAGATTTATAAACAGTAATTTTGAAAACTGTCATTGACCCATTGCTACTAGTATATGCTACTATATTGCAACCAATGCATGTATTAAAAATAAATTGAACCACACAATGTCATGTGATTTAGTTGACCAAAGATTTTTTTTTTTTGCCTTTTGACTAAAAAAAATGTACTTGTATTTTCTTATTCATGTATTCTTACTATGAACAGCTATTCAGTAAACCCCAGTGAGAATTAGGCAAAATCAGTGACACAAAGAAAGTATTAGCACCATGCTGATATATTATTTTGCAAATATCTCAATATTTAAAAAAATATTCAAAAGAAATCTTATCGTCACTGTGGCTTAGGCTGCGAACTTTTTTGTTTGATTAAACTGGAGGAATGTAAGTGTTCTTATGCTGTCCCTGGAGTTGACCAGTGCAGTAGACATTCATGACTTGTGGGTTTCTACATGGTGAATTTATTTATTTATTTTTTCCTCAGTGGTAGATGTAGCAAAGCAAAAAATTATCGAATATGATTATGTGTCAAATAACATTTTGGCATATTGTCTGCTGAGCTCGTTTGCATATATCCAAGTATTCAGCCTACAGCAGTTTAGCTCTGCCCATTCACTTTAAAGTTAAAAGGCGTGTTTCAGTCTGGACTTTTTGGATGAGGCACAATACAAGGCAGCAAATTAGAACACAGTTAATTTACATATTAGTCTTAAAACACTAACAAAAACAGCCTAACTGAATTTAAGGAAAATAGAGAAGTTGGAAAATGGTCATGTAAAATTGTTTTTTTTGGCCCATAAATCCAGATAACTATCATAAGTGGACCTTTGGCAAAAAAACTGTTAATACAGAATAAATTTAGTGTCAGGTTGGACAAACAGGAGCATTAATATTTGCATTAATTCTTTAAATGTTCAGAAAGAGGACTGGCAAGTGAAATGAACTAGAAAGAAAGGGGAGGGAACAGTCTATCAGCAGTAAAATGTCATTAAAGAGCACCAATCAGACGTTTGTTAATGTTTGTCCTGTTGGTCCATTCTGGCCATAAGTTTCCAAATGTGGCAGGCAAAGTTGCCCATTAAGCCACGCGGCGGTAGCAAAGAAGAAGCAGCGTTTGGCTCCAGTGCAGTAACAGCCTTCTGGCCAGGGAATGGAGCCTGCACTGCACTGCATAGCATTAGCTTCAGCCTTCCTGCACTGTGCGCCTCCATACTCACTTTGATGTGCCAATTTGCAAGTTGATGAATAATCTCATCTGGCTGCTGATAGCTTGTGGGCGAGTGGAGGCCGTCCTGCTGGCACTTAATGCAAATGGGTGTGTGTGTGTGTGTGTGTGTACACCCCCAAGCCAGCCTCCCCACCCAAGGTCCTGTATACTTCAGTGTTCCTTCTTTTGGCCCTACCATTCTTATTTCAGGCTGCCCCTTTAAGAGTACACTTTCCAAAGCTCCCACTGAGGAAACCCAGTGTTTACCAACTAATATGTAGTTTACCTATTCAGACCTCCATTAGATTAAATCAGATGCTGCTGATGGAATTGAACAAATCTACAGTTATTGAAAAACACCCTTTGAGAAGTTTACTTTTCTAGTATGTTTGGACATAGATATCCAGTCTTCGTTTAAACATTGCTGATAGATACAAGTGATATAAGAAGGGATGTGTAAAATTGTACAGGTCAATTTTATATAATCGAAATAAGCAGTCAGTACACTTTGTCAGTTCTTCAAATGTGTCAAATTGGAATCAGGTACACCCCATCAGGTGCTATTGATTAGAACACCTGTTAGAGAATATCTTAGGCTTTGTTCACACAGCGGGTAAAAGTGACCCAAATCCAATCTTTTTCTCCGTATGTGTGACAGATTTGTCATCTGTGTGAACAGCAAAAAACGCATTGAATCTGACATTTTCAGTTCCGATTTAAGACTTTCATATGTGGCCCTGAACTCCGATACGTATCCGATCTGCGGCAGTGTGACTCAGTCTGAACAGGCAGATTCATGTCAATCCAACTTGACATTCGTCATAATTTTGCGCTGCTGAGACTCATAAACATTTTGGCTGATGTTTCTGTACCATAAAATTAGAAGAGACTTTTCACAACTGCTCCGCGCTCGAAGAGCTTTTGAACAAAGCGGCCGGAGGAGACGGAGGCTGCACCGTCAAAGAACAGTTAAGTCTGAAAGCAAAGTTTAAAGAATCCGAGGACACGAACCAAAGAAGAGGCCGTGGCTGAGTAACGTGCCCTTTTTAAGGTGAACTCGAACACCTTCTGGGTGATGAGCCCAGCTGTCAACGATTGGAACTTCATAATCGCTCCTGTGATGCTGGCGAAGACGAAACTGAAAGCTCCAGGAGCGACTGGCGTTCGCTGGCCGTCATGATTGTTTACCTCTGGATGAGCCATTTGAAGCATTGTTCTTTTGCGCATGTGGGTCGGTTTAGGAGCTGATCTGTTCAGACTAAAGTCACATACAGGTCACATTTAGAAGATAATGTAAACAGCCAAACAAAAAAAGAAAATCAGATTTGGGCTACTTTTACCTGCTGTGTAAACGTAGCCTTAGAGAAACCAGTGTTATTTAAATCTCAGAGATTTGCCATTGGAGGTTGGGGTATCGTCATCCTAGATGACAAAAAAAAGCTCTGAGGCCTTCAGAAAGAAGATTGTAGATATCTGTGAGTCTGGGAAAGAGATTTGAGAAGTGTTTCCAAAATATTAGAAATCAATCCTTCCACTGTCTGGAAGATCATCTACAAGTAGAGAAGATTTAAAACCACTGCCAATGTGTTCAGGCCAGGTGAACCCAGCAAATTTAACCCAAGAGCAGACAGTAAGACAGTAAGTCTTTTCAAAACCTTAAAGTTCCATCACTGTATCTGGAAGTAGCTCTTCCACTGTGGATGTACATTAGAACAAGACTGCACAAAGTTTATCTACATGAACGGTGTGCCAGGAGGAACCATTTCCTATCTAAAAAGAACATCAGGGCAAGAATAAAGTTTGCTGATGAATATTTAGGCAAGGACCAGGACTTCTGGAACAATGTGCCATTGGCAGACGAGTCAAAGAGTTGTTTGGCTGTGGTACCAGAAGCCATACTTGTCGAAATCAAAAGGCAGCATTTGTTCAGAAGAACCTCATACTAACTGTATAGCATGATGCTGGAAATGCTCTGATTTGGGGCTGCTTGCTGTCTTGCTCTGCCAACTTTGTAATCATAGAATCAACTATGAATTCTCTTTCATACCAGAGAGGGCTTGAGGAGAATGTGAGGCCATCTGCCAAATGGTTAAGCTGAAGAAGTTCACTGTTAAACAGAATAAAGAAAACAGTTACGCCATCAAAGTATGGCTCAGAAAGGAAGAAATGAAAGGGTTGTGGAATAGCCCAAAGTCCAGATCTGAACAAAAATATGGCGGGTAAAATGTTACAGGTCATGTAATGTTTTTTTCCTTGACATGTTATATTCATCAAACCAAAATTATGCCCTAAAATTAGGCAAAAATTGCCGTATTTGTTTGTTCACCATAGAGGATTTATTCTCATTTAGACAGTCAACATGTGATCTCATTAAGTACTCAGACCTTTGCATATGAGTGTATTGTGATGTTAAGTGTGTTTACTGTGTTTTTATCTGTGCACTAGCTATCTTTGTTTGTAAACTAAGTGTTTTTGTAGTTTTCCCCCACTCTGTTCCTCCAATCATTTCATGATTTTCTTTTTTCTCTATTAACTGAAGTTAAAGCAGTTAAAGTGAATTTGGAGGGTTGTGTCCTTGTGTATCTGAATCTTTTGAGTCATTTCTTTACGTTGGTGCATTAATTTATTGCCCTTTTAGAAACATGCTGTAATTACATTTTTACGGTGTTGAAATTCAGTTGCTTTAAGGGAACTGTGGGTTTCAGCACGGTGTATAGGCTGAATGGAAACAGTGGCTGATGAATTATTATTATTTTTTTTTAATTGGCTCATTTTTAAATGAATACAGAGTGATGTCCTCACCTGCTTAAGTTTATTCATATTTGAAGGTTCTGCTGCGTGTCTCATGTCGAGTGTCTCTACGTTAGAAGTTATTTAGCCTGATTATGAATGCAATCTGACATGTTGTTTGGATGTCTCTACTTTTAAATATACAAATTCCCTATTCTCCTGCCCCCGTCCCCAAGAACTCTCCAGAATTAAAGCAGTGGTTTTTAAGTATGGCTCAGAGCCATGTGCGCATCTCCAGCCTTGACCCCTGGCCTGTCAGCAGAGCTTTGCTGCATTAACACTCAGGAGATTGGCCATTATATTTATGCAAGCCATCATTTGCACTCTGTGTGCTGGCTCTAATGGAGCGTGATTGAGTAGAGTATGTGTGCGGTGCAGTGGAGAGGGGTGAAACCCTAGTTAACTTCCCCTTTCACTGTGCCACTACCTCCTGTGGAGTCGGCTCAGTGCAGAGGCTTCAGACTCACTGGAGGCTTTTTGCTGGCTTTAATTGAAACAGCTGGTGGTAAAGTAGCATATTACAGGCTTTCAGTTGGGCATCAGACCATGCCATGTGTCTGTGTATTGCAAGTATGAAATTGATCCATTTTAGGTTCTTAGTGATTAAGGCTACAGAGTACATAGTTAAATAGTTATCCTGATATTGACCTTTGCAGTGCTGACAGTGCAGAAGGTCGTAACATGCCAATAAGTCCTCTAACCAATCAAAGAACGTTTTAGTGTGCACTATAGATTGGACATACAGGATATTGATATTCATATTGGCAGAAAATGCTGGTTGGGATATGAGGGTGCAGTAGAATGAATAGAAAAGTAGCCCCCTGCAGTTATGCATCATTTTGTAGTCCGTGTCATGCCTTTATTAGGAACTCCAGGTCTAAACTTGTTTTCTCTACAAAAAAAAAATAGTTGCTGTTTTTATAAATCGCTGTAGTCGTGCCATAAAATGTTTCAAAAGCTGTTTTGCCATCAGGACATTTTTCCTCCAAACGTCACCAGATTCTCTGAAGTATGAGATCATTAAGGAGCTGAAATACGACTACTGCTGCATTCATGCGAACACTTCTGCCCTACTAAACTGACGCTGTAGGACTGGCTACCTCACCAAAATACCCGAAACAAACCCACAAGCTTTGTCAGATGTGGTAGTTTTACCCTCCTGCAAGGCATATTGTGATTTCATATAATTGCAGTTAGAGATTTTATTGTTATTGTGATCATGTTATTCTGCTTTGACCAGATTTAAACATTGAGAAGCTGCATGTTTTGGTATGAGAAGGGCATAAATAGTCCTGATTAATAGGATTTAGTGCAGTGCAGTCTATGAAACAATGAAAAGTCATGGAGTTTTTGATGGCAGTTTTTAAATGTCACTGTTAAAAAAATTGTAAATATGTCTTCAAGTATTGATTTTTATCTCGCTCACTCCGAATTGCAGCAGTAGTATTTTGTTCATATGGAAGTTCAAAGGTCTGTTTTCTGCAGCTGACTGAGCGTGTCTGACTTTTTCAACCATTGCGTAGGCAGTCTGTTAAGTAGCAGCGCCAGGAGTGCATCAGTATTTACAAAATGTGGATTGGGACGATGTAATCCCTGTGTTAAGTTAATGAGAAGACAGTTTACAGGGGATTGTTGATTTAATCCTATTTGCACTTTGTCACCTGCTCTCCAGCTCCTTTATGCTCCTGCGTTTGTTAACTGTAGTATGGGTTTATTAGAACAGAGCAGGATGAATTGGTTGTGATTCTCTCTTTAGGCTGCCTTGTATGCAGAGTTTTAACAAACCAGATGATAATTGGGGTAAAAGTGGGTGGTCCCCTTTTGTTTTTTCTTCCAGCTTCTGGTCATTATTTCGAAAAGTGTGGTGTTGAATGAAGAGATAATTGGGTGGCATCTATGCAATTGACTCTGGCAAGCTAGCATCTGCAAGCAAGCCTGCATATAGACACAGACGTTTTGATTAAGCCGCTCCAGACGCGAATGAACTGTGTGAATCAAGTCTCGGAAAACTGATGTGATTCAGTTGGTGACCTCTTTTTGGAGCTGATGTTTGGCCTCTCGGTTTTCAGAACAGTTAGATTCGGTGTGCTATTTAAGTAAACAGAAGCTCAACTGCAGGTGTGTAATTGCTATTCTGGCAAACATGGAAACGTTAATACCGCAGGAACTAATGTTTGTAAATCACAAATCCTTTTGTCTTCAACTAAAGTTCTTGTCTTTGCTCCCCCCCTTGTTTATATATCGCTGCTG